TTTCTAGGATAAAGTAGGTTTAACAAGCTTCAATCACTCAGGCAGGGTTGCACAATTCAAAGCTTACATTTTCAAGTTGGGACTGTGTTCTGTGTTCCTGTATCTCTTGATATTATGGTTAGCAAGAGTCAAGTGCACAATGCCCAGGCAGTTTAATCGAGAAATCCAGGATTTCTACTTATCGAGATTCAGATCCTAGTGAATTATGACCACACCATAGCAGGCTAGTTTTAATAATAACAGGCCTTAACATCCAGCTCACCTTCCTACATAACTGCAACACTTACCTTCTTGTCTGTATGTGATTGCAACAGCAGCACCATTTATAATTTAAAAACTATCCTCTAAAGCAGGGGTGTCCAGCCTTTTGGCATCTCTGGGCCACACTGGAAGAGTTGTCTTGGGCCACACATTAAACACACAAACACTAATGAAAACTGATGAGTGAAAAAAAAGGTCCGTGCCTAGTTTTCATGATATCCACCACCACAAATAAGGAGAAAAGCCCCACCTAATAAACCTAATTATGCAGCGACCCTTTCAATAATTTTTTAAAATTGTCAAGCAGGTTCCAAGTTTGTCATCAGCAATATAGAAAATATACGTATCTAAGTAATAAAATGTCATTGACTTTTTAAATATTTTTATTATAAAAGGAAAAGAGGGCAGCATAAAACCAGTGGGATGTTTGACACTGTATTGAGAAACTTGTGCATCAGTATCTGGTTTGATAGAAGTAGTTGTAATTCTCAGTGAGTTCTCAAGATGCTCATCAGATATTTTGGTTCTAATTTTACTTACAATGTGTTTCATCTTGAAAATAGTTGCTCGCAAATGTAGGTGCTGCCAAATAGCAATGACATGAATAAGGTGTGATTGTGAGACAAGGGATATTTGTCTCTGGGATGATAGGACCTATCAAAGTCCAGTAAAGAGACATGATCAAGTTTTTCTTTAAGTTGAATGTCAGATTGCAGTTCTATGCCTTCCATTTGAAAATTGGCAGGCAACCTATTTTTGTCAACTGAAAATGGAGTTGCAAATATAGAAATGACTATTATTTTCCTGGAAATCTTGAAATCTGTTTTCAAATTCTTGTACCAAATCTAAAAGCAAGGCTGCATATTTTTCACTGTTCACGAGACTGTGTTTAGCCAATACGTCAAAATGCATAAAATTGTTTGCCTTAATTTGAGCTTGCCACAATTTCACTTCCATGTGGACCACTGTTATGGTTTGAAACATGCTATTGATAAGTTGATTTTCACCTTGAAGATGCCTATTTAACATATTTAAATAGCAGTTAAATTAAAAAAAACCCAGCTAAATCTGTAAGCCAGTTTTCACTGTCAAGTACCAGCACAAATTCGTTTTTGATATCATAAGTGACTTGATAAGATGTCACAAATCATAAAATCTTCTCAACATTTGGCCTTGACTTAGCTATGTTACTTCTGAAAAGTAAATGATGTTGTCACAGTCAACATCAATACTTTTAAGGAATTCCTGGAATTGCAATGATTCAATCCTTTGGCTCTTATGAAATTCACAGTCTTGATGATTTGCATGAAGTTATATTTTCAAAGCTTTTGTGCATAAATTCTCTTGATGTACTATGCAATGATACTTCACCAAACATGAGTTTTGGGTGGCAATTGAATCGTTTTCTATTAATTTTACAAGAGAATTTTACCTTCCATCACTGGGGCACCATCAGTAACTATACCAGATGTGTTGACAATGACAAAGAAAGTCACTTTAACATATTTTTTACTGCTTCATATAAATCTCTTGATTTATTTGTGTCTTTTAATAGCACTAAAGAAGCCATTTCTTCAGCGACATTATATTTGTCATCAATACCTCTAATAAAAATGGCAAATTGAGCTGTGTCTGTAGCATCAGTGCCACCATCCATCACCAAAGCATGAAACTTCAAATTAGCAACTTTACTCTCCAAACTTCTTTTGATAGATTTTCCAGTTTCTTCAATTCACCTGGCTATAGCATGGTGAGGCAAACATATTTCAAAAATATCCCCTTTTTTCTCAGGGCAACTTATATCTGCCACACTTTCTATACATTGCTTAATACACTCACCAGCAGTAAATGGTTTTGATGTTTTTGCTATGAAACATGCTACCACATAGCTAGCTGTTACAATGGAATCTACCCAAGATGTAACTATTTGAAAAAAATTTTGTTGAGAAGACAGACTTTTTTTCAGTTCTGCTATTTTGTCTTTAAGACACAATCCTTCATATGCATTGAATTTGGCAGCATGTTTTTGAATATAATGACTTTCCAAGTTACAGTCTTTGAAAACTAGCACAAATTCCCTACAAATTAAGCAGAGTGCCTTACTGTTTGCCTGAACAAAAAAGTAGTCATCTGTCCACTTTTCACTGAACAATCTTTCATTCATGATTTTTTGTTTTGGGGGGTTCTTTTTTCTTTTGAGATGTTGTAGAAGCCCTGCTGGGATTAAAAAAAAATAATAATCGATAAGGGACTTTATGTAAGTTTATTATTAAAATTAATTAACAGAAAAATAGAAAGCAAGGTTTGGGCCTTTCCACAGCCCTCTTCACTGCCAATGCAGGGTAAGGCAGAGGTCCAATTGTAAAGCATGGCAGGCAATGTGTGAGGCACCACCAATGTGAGGAAGTACCTGCAATAATCAAGTAAGAATGCTTACCAGAATTCTAAATAGCATTATATATCTAATGTTGCAATGGTAAGTTGAAATATCATTGATAATCGCTACCTCACTGAATCACCAGAAGCACATGTAACATCTGATAGTGTCAATTCTACTGTCTGTGCTTGAAAAATAACACACTAGAAGACGCACACCATCATAAAACTGAAGCCAAGCATACATACAAATAGTGAGACCTTACATACATCTATTTTAGGTGACATTGTGACATATAATCACAAAAAAACTCATAATGTTTTAAGTAAGTTCATAATTTTGTGTTGGGCCACATTCATAACCATCCTGGGCCGCATGTGGCCTGCGGGCCCTGGGTTGGACGCCCCTGCTCTAAAGCCTGTGTAGTTAATTCAAGGTTTGTCATAAAGTAACATTGTTTTGAACTGTATATAACTCTCAAAGAGGCAACCACAAGATTTTTTAAATTTTCTTTTTTTTTAAAATCAAAAATTTGATCTGGAATTTATTCATATTTCAGTGTTAATAATAATTCTCTTATTGCATGTTTTTTGTTAACAAACCCCTCACACACTACACAAAACCAAGCCAAGAGTTTAATAGTGAGCAGGAAAAAAAAATCTATCTAACTGTAAAATAACTTGTGTGAAAAAAAGATCAGGAAAAGCATTAAATCGGGAACCAGGGTACTGAGAATCTAGGTCTGCACTGCCCAATATTGTAGCTGTCACCCACAGTGGCTCTTTACATTTTAATTTAAATTAAATAAAAATTAAAAACTTAATTCCTCAGTTACATCAGCCACTAGCCACAGTTTAGGTGCTCACCAGTCACATGTGCCTAATAGCTTCTCTATGAGACAGTACAGATTTATAGAACATCTCCATTATTACAATAAATTCTACAGGACAACACTATTCTAAACCAGTAATTTTTTGTTTTTGAGACACTTAAAATGCTTAAAGTTTACTGAGGATCCCCAAGAATTTTCTTAAAAATATGAATTAAAACTAATAATATTTATTGAATTAGAAACTAAAACAGAAAATATAAAATACCAACTTATATTCCATTAGCCACCAGAACAATGAGATCATCATAGATCATTTAGTCTCTGGAAAACTCCATTACACACTCTGAAAGAACCAGGAGGGGAAAAGCCAATAACAACTGAGTGTTGTGAAATGTTTTAACCTGAAAAACACCCTTAAAGGCTCTCAGGGTCTCCTAAGGGTCCCAGATCACAATTTGAAAGCCACTGGTCTAGATTCTACTATGTCCTTCCCTAGTTTTCACGTTCCCTTTTCTTCTAAATGCTATGGTGCTTATTTTGCCCAAACAAAGATAAATGTTATGCCAAGTGTGAACAGTTTGCAAAGTAAAATAAAATGCTCTGATTTCTTTATCAAACCAGGCTTCTTTGAGAGGAAGGAAATGCAAACAAACTCTTCTACTCAAAGACTAATTCTAACTGAATTGAGGCCTAACAGCCTAATATGATGAATACATTAGCTATGGTTAGAATTAGGTGAGGCTTAATGATTTCCTTGCTTTTGCCCCAATAGATTTTCCTAAACATATATGAAAATCACAGTGGCTCAAACTGAACAGCCTCAGGCAGCAACTTGATATTTATACTTTGAATTCTTCCAGCAAAATTTGTGTTCATCATGTTAGATAGGACGTCTTCAAAGATCATTTTGCAGTACAAATAATATGTTCCAAAAATATCAGTCTTGAATCTGATCAAGACCATTAGAGTTATTCAGAATGTTTGGTTTTAGATAAAATAGTCCTAGGTTCTTCCTGCTTGGTCCTAAGAGTGATAAAATATTACACAATGCTATAAACATCTTGATTTTTAGAATAAAGACTTTCTCTGTCAACATATTATTCCTAAACTTAAAATTAAATTGCTGATAAAACACATTATAATACTTTAACCATAATAGATTTTGCAAAGATGTCTCTGGGATTTTGTAAATGCTCATTCTGGTAATATTCTGAATCTGGATGATTTTAATGATAAAAACTCAAGAAATATTCCACAGATTTTACTGGCATCTGTGATTCAAGTTACCCCCAGCTATGTTGCCTTTTTTTTTTCTTTTTTTGTCAGTGCTTGATTTGAGGGAAGCAAGGGAATGAGAGGAAAGGAAGAATTCCCCACTGCAGTGGTAAAGGGTAGAGCTAGTTGGGTCAAACATTTCACCAAGTGCAGTTGTTGCCTCTTCTGAAGATTTCCTGCTAGTCATTGGCAAGAGAACTTATAACTAATCTCTTTACTCTGAGAGTGAACAAGTCTTAATTTCTTCTCTTTTAGATGATACCAGTTCATCTTTTTGTCTAGATGAGCTGAGTATGTATCCTGAGTGTGACCTTTGAGACCACCAGAGGAAATTTTCCAAGTGATGCTATTTGGTTGTGCCACTGGATTGACCTGTATTCATTTTCCACTCCCTTCAAGATCTGAGTTGGGGCTGCCACTGAAAGCCGTGGAATATGGAGGACCTTATTTGTATATGATCTTAAGAGAAAGAAGTCACCCCTGTAGATTCATACCAGCCAGACTCCTTCTTGACTGTAAGTCCAACCTCAGAATGAGCCAGAAATAGGTACAGTTTTCCTATTATGGATCTGGACCTCGTCTATTTATGTCTTCAGCTTTGCTTTGGAACTATCTCCTTAAGAAAACCTCACAAATGTATAATCTGTTATTGTGCCTGGGAACACACAATGCTTGACAGCATATGGTTGTTTGATGATGCAAAGAGTTAGGAGATTGAAAGCTCCTTTCATATATATTTTTTTGATAATAAATTCTATCTTTTAGTGAGCTATCACTAGGTGCCAGGTTCTTCACTGAGCATGTTGTATGTTACCTAAATAAATTCTGCATAACTCTAGGAAATAGATACTGTTATTATTTATAATTCACCAAAAGAGAAAGAATCTCAGAAAGATTAAGAAACAATTTACCTGGAATTGGACACCAGGTTATCTGTTCCCTTATCTCTTCCTCTTTTCTTCAAGTGCCCTTTGTAGACTTAGCACAAACCAGGTGTTTTTTTGTTCGCCTACCTTATGCTCATTTTTTCTTCCAAAGTATATATGTATATGTGTGTGTATTTATATGTATATATGTGTGTTTACATGTATATATACTTTATACAAAGTATATAAATATGTGTGTAAAAACATTTATGTAGTGCTTATTAAATGTCAAACACTGTTCTAGACCCTTGACATGAATTACTTCATTTAATCCATACAACAACCCTATGAAGTAATAATCATAATCACCCTGTCTTGATTTGAAAAGAAAGAGAAACTCTGTAAAATGTTACCTATATTGTATCACTGCAAATTATAATCTCTCTAGCACATTGCGATAAATTAAATCTGAGGTCTTCTAAAGAACTCTTAAATAATATTTTATCTTATTTCTTTAAAGATGTTTTAGATCTTTTAAGATTTTATTTATTTATTTATTTTTAGAGAGAGAGGAAGGAAAGGAGAAAGAGAGGGAGAGAAACATCAATGTGTGGTTCCTGTAGTGTACACCCTACTGGGAACCTGGCCTGCAACCCAAGCATGGGCCCTGACTGGGAATCGAACCAGCTACCCTTTGGCTTGCAGACCAGCACTCAGTCCACTGAGCCACACCAACCAGGGCGTTAAATAATATTTTTAAAATCATTGTGAGCAGAATTAGTCCCATGTTAAAATTTGTATTCCATGTGCACCAAGTCTTGCTTTGGCTTCTTAACAGCATGTTTTCTTTCTAATTGGTGACTATGACATCTCTGTGCCAGAGAGGTTTAGTAAACATCCTTTCTCCAGGGCCAGTGCCATTCTCTTGCAAAGATTTCAGATCAAGGTGTAGTTCAAACTTGTTAGACCATCTCCTTCTGCACTTTTACAAACTCACTAGCTCCGAATGTTATTCTGTTCTCTTAAGGCAGTCCATACTTCTGTCATGCTTCTTCATCTAATCTTTGTGGATGGAGATTACTGGCAGTGGAGGTAACATGAGTTTCTTGTTTTATGCAAATGATTTCCTCCCTTTTCCACATCATTTCATATATTGTCATGCAAGTTTGGCACTCGGTCTTGCTTGACCACATCTGAATAGAATTATGCTCCTTGGAAGCCAAATTTCTTCTTTTCCTGTGAACTAAAGCTCATTTATGTGTTCTGTGAAGTAACCTGAGGCAACATGTTTATTATCACAAGTTGAATTAATAATGATGATTAAATGTTACAGCAGCTGAGCCCTTTAGTTTTTGCACATTACTTGATGTAAACTCTGGTTAAGTGGAATGTGAGGGAAAAGGCTTGGGGACTTTTTTTATTGCTCAAGAAGATTCCTTGTGGCAACTGAGAAATGTGGGAAAAAACCGAAGTGATTGTTCAGTTGGTTTCTCAAGCAATACTTTGAAATCTTTTTCAGTTAAATAACTCTGAAGTGCATGGTTTGTGCAAAGCTTAAAGTAGTTGCTTCAGGGAATGATGCATGCCACCTGCCATGAAGAATTTAACATGATAAAACCCTGAGTGCACTCATGCATAATAGATAGGAGAGGGTCAGGGAGGTGATATATGGTTTTATTTATTTATTTATTTATTTATTTAAAATGAATTAATTTATTTTTTCAAATACATTTGTCTCTGCCTCCCCCCCACATTTTCCCTTGCCCCCTCCCTCCTTCCCTCCCTCCCTCAACTCCTCCCCTTTGGTTTTGTCCATGAGTCCTTGCTATATGTTCCTTGACTTGCCCCTTCCCTCCCTTTTCCCCTGCCCCCCCCTCCTTCCCTCTTGTCTCTGTTGGTTTCTTTTCCTTTCAATGTTGCTGGTCTTATTTTCCTTGCATCTTTGTATTGTTGGTTAGGTTCCACGTATAGGTGAGATCATATGGTATTTGTCTTTTGCCCCCGGGCTTATTTCGCTTAGCATAAAGCTCTCGAGGTCCATCCATGCTGTTGCAAAGTTTAGTAGTTCTTTTTTCTTTCTGCTGCGTAGTATGGAAGAAATCACATGTGTATGAGATAAACAAGAAGAGCATAGTGAAAACAAATGGCAGAGCTTTGAAAACATGGGTAAACTTTTCTCAAGTACAGATCGGATTAAGACTTCTGGTTTCTAGTGATGTCAGGCTAGGTTATTGGGAGTCACAATCCTGCAGAAAATAAATAAAAAAGGCTTGATAAAATATTTTTAAGTATTTTAAAAATTGCAAAGCCCAAAATACAATTAATTATTAGATAAATATTTGCAGAAAATCAGGAACTCAGAAAATAAGTGGAGCATAGAAGAACTTTTTCCCCAAAGAGTTTGATTTGTTAATTCCCCAAAATATGAACTTTAATTTTGACCTCCCACATATAATGGCCAATCCAACAGAAGACTGCCTTCAATAAGCTCATAACTCAGGAGGCTGCACAGACAGAATAAAAAAAAGAACCAAGTGTAAAGTAGTCCTCAACTGTACTTCACATTGAATGGTTAAGTCCAGGTAATTTTAAACCTCAAATTTTAAGATTTAAGGTGGTCTTGGACTGGTAGTGATTTGGAGCACAACTCGATTTGGAGAAAGAATGAGCAGCTTACAGGAACTCAACATCAAGTTCAATACACTTTATTTACTGCACATAAGAATATGATCACATCCATGTAGAAACTGAGTATGTGTGTGTGTGTATTGATGGTACTATAAAATGACACTCTACTTGTAGCTTTCACCTTTTTAAAAAAAAAAAAAACTGGAAGTGCTAATGAAAAAGAATCTGCCCACTTTTGTAATTTTCTCAGAATAAGATACTGGGTGAATATTTAAGTCAAGAATATCCAGTTTACACATCTTTCTTGCCATGAAATAGTTCCTCTCAAAAGTATTCAACGTTGAGTAATGAGTCCTTCCAAAGAATTTCCATTTTGAAAATATGCAAATCATAGCTAATATCCTTTAAGAACTTGGAATAAAAGAGCAAGTTTCCTCGGAAGGTATGACAGACATTTCCCCTCAATTATTTGGACTGTTGTGAGATGTCACATACCTGGTGCATTCAGGCTATAGCCAAGATCATTAGCCACTTAAAATATATGAGTGTAAAATATAGAATATTTTTTTTCTTTCTGTCTCCATTGAGGGATCATCTCCAACTTTCTGACTCCTAAATGCCGGACTGTGCCCAAGTCCATTCTGTGACCTCTTCTCCCTTTATCTACAGTCAAGACCTAGGTTAACTCATCTAGTCCTGCAGCTTTAATTACCACTTGCAGGATGAGTATGCTTCCATTACTGTCTCTACCTCTCACCTTTCCTCTGAGCATCTGAACAGATGCTGCAACCATTCAACAGTTCCACATAGATGTCTAACAGGCATCTCAAATCCTGCTTGTCCAAAAAGAACTATTTATTCTCCAATACAAACTTACTTATCCCTGGTCTTTATTTAGTAAAAGGCAACACCAATCACTCTGTTGCTAAAACCAAAATTGTGTTGCCTGCCTTGATCTTTCATTTATTTTCATGCTCTGCATCAAATCCATCAGCAAATGCTGTTGACTCTATCTTCAGAATATATTACTCCTTCAGTATTCCTCACTCCTCCTGTTGTTAATCCGTTAGTCCAAGCCACCATCGCTGTGTGTGTCATATTTACTGTAATAGCCACTAAACTTGTCTCTTTGCCTCCACTCTTGCCCCTGTACCCTCACTATGCTCTACAACCAAGGGTGTCCAAACTTTTGGTGTCTCTGGGCCACACTGGGAGAAGAGTTGTTTTGGGTCACACATTAAATACACAAACACTGATAAGCAAAAACAAGTTTTTATGTAAATTTATGATTTCGTATTGCGCCGTATTTATAGCCATCCTGGGCCATATGCAGCCTGCGGGCTGGGGGTTGGACGCCCCTGCTACACTCTAGCTGGACTGATGTTTTAAAATGAAACACAGTATTTTACTCTCTTGCTCTTAGTCTTTCAATGACTTCCCAGGACACTTGGAAGAAAATCTAAAATCTTTTCCATGACTGCCAAGTCCTTTATTAGGGTCTCTGGCTACCTCTTTGGCTTCATTTTTGAGACTCTTCCTCTCATTTATTCCACTATTTCCACCTTTATTTTCTTATTCCTCCTCAAACTCACAGCTCACAGTTTCATTCAGGAACTTTGCTCAATGCTCTTCCATCTGCCGGGAATGCTCTTCCACCAGAGAGTCACATGACTTACCCCCTCATTTTAATATGTTTTCTGTTCAAATGACACCCCTCCTCGTAAAATTCTTTCTGGAATATCCTAGGAATTTCCTTGCCCATTTATTTTTCTTCTTTGCCCCATCTCATTTTTCTGATATAAATATTAGACTATATTGTAATATAACCTAATATTATGTTATATATTTGTGTATTTGTTTTTGCCTTGTCTTCCTTGCTACAATATCAGCACCACCAAGAGAGAGCTCTCTATATCCTCAGTTTCTAGACATAGGCCAAGAAAATGGACACTCAACATATATCTGTTAAATTATTGAATGAATGAATTAATGAATTTGAGTGAGTGAATAAATGAATCAATGCAAGTATGCCAGATTGTTAGGTTACATGGAATGGAGTGTTTTGTTTTTTTTTTAAAGATTTTATTTATTTATTTTTAGAGAGTGGGAAAGAGAGGGAGAAAGAGAAGGAGAGAAACATCAGTTTGTGGTTGCCTCTAGCACACCTACCACAGGGGACCTGGCCTGCAACCCAGGCATTGTGCCCTGACTGGGAATCGAACCGGCAACCCTTTGCTTCACAGTCTGGCGCTCAATCTGCTCAGCCACACCAGGCAGGGCAGAATGGAGTTTTTAGTTACTAATAAACTTCAAGCTGGCTTCATTCCCAGATAGTGAAAGAATCTATTTCCTCTCCATTTTCTAGAATCTGGCCTTGGAAACTGGTTAGACTTCAATAAAAGCTGTTCTTTGTTCATTTTACATAAGATTACCAACTCTCTTCATCCTATTGCCTCCACTGTGAGGATAATAACAGAACCGACCTATTTCATAAGATTGCTATGGAGATTAAGTAACTTAATATATAAAAGTCTTTAAGACACTGGCATATATGGTAAGTGTTCAATAAGTATTATTTATTGCCATTAATATTATAGTTGTTACTTTAAATTTAGAGTTTCTTCCTATATTTATTTTCACCGGTAATGGGTTACTCTCACTTTCTGTATCTGGTATATGGAAAAATTCATTAAATGTTACTATTGTGTTTATTCCATCTGCTATAAGCTGTTCTGTCCTCACTTTACACAGAGGTCTGGGGCCACAAAAATAACCTGGTTCAACCTGTGAGTATGCCAAAGTGATCTTAATGATTATGGGAAAAATTCAATTTTTCTATTACCCTTAAATTTTTTGCCAAAACATTAGAATCTCTCTTATTATCAGTTATAAATGTATAGGAAATAAAAATAGTGAAACTGAAGCTCATTTAGTACACTGTAATTTTAAATATTATAAACACTAAGTGCAAACATTTTATTTCTTTGTAAAAAGCTTTTTAGGAGTAGTTGAAACAGTGCTTGTTTTCTCATTGTATAACTTACTTTTTTCGACACCGTGGCTGTTAGATGCCTAAATTTGAATCTGCATTTAACATTTTACCCTTTGCACTTTCAATCTCATGAGATATCTCCGAAATGACTTAATTTTATTTATTTATTTCTGCCTGCGTCAATTCCTTTGCGATATCCTCATCCTTTTCATTACAACTACCGTCCTCATTGATGTCCGCAAGTTCATCTTTGCTATGTTCCTCTGGCTGCATCACTGGCGTTTCCGCAAAGGCAGCAGCATCAACATTCCGACAGTGAGCTATTTCTTCTAGAGGTCCGTTTACATTTGACTTGAATTTCACGTCTAGATGTATCATTTTTCACTAAATTCGCTGCACTTTGTTTTCTGCTGGCCAATTCCCTTTTCTGGTGATCCACTTTGGGAAATATGTGTGTTTTTACTATGGGGAAGACAGGGAGGCATCCCAGCTTCACTTGTGGCTGTCTGTGTGTGCACCAGTAGCAGACGTGCAGTGACCAATCACACTGACAGACTTTGTGAGAAGTGCTGTGATTGGTTACTGATCACGATGTCCATCTGCTATTTCTATAAGGATTTTTACAATTGCTTGTATTTGATGATAATAGCCTAAACCAGGGAAATAGTAGTGAGAAGCTGAAGATAGTCAGATTCTACATATTTTTAAGGGTAGATACAACAGGATTTCCTGACAAAAATAATATGCAACATGTGAATAAAGTAAGTAAAAGGAAGTCAAGAAAGCCTTCGAGATTTTTGGCCTGAGCAATTGAAAGGATGAGGTTTGCGTTGACTATGTTGGAGAGAGTTGTAGGTAGATGAGGGTGCTGTGCATGTTAGCGTTGAGAGATCTTTTAGATATTCAAGTGGAGATGTGGAATAGAAGTTAGATATACAAGTCTGGAGCTCAGGAGAGGGTCCAAGGGTGGGGTTAAAAGTTTGGGAGTGATTGACCCATAGATGACATTTAAAGACATGAGATTGGATGAAGTCACCAAGATTTGTTCTTTTTCTTTTCCTCTGCTTTTAATTTCCTCTTCTCCTCTACTCATTCTGATGCTTCTGAATTTTCTAGAATTAGAACAGGAATAGAAATTACAGAGAAAGAGCAAATTTTTCTTTCTACTTAATTGGTGCTGTTTGTGGCTCTTTCTTGGTTGATACTGGCTGGTCATGCATTATTTTATCCCAGGCTGCACGTTAGCTTTTGATGAGATTGTCAGTTAGTTCTCCAAATATCCTTACACAAAATATTCTGCACCGTTCTATTCTTTGATGGAGACAAGGTGGGATACAGATGCCACCTAACTTTTTATGAAACCCCTCTCCCAATTCTCTCCCCATGGCACTATACCTCCAGCTTCCTTCTGCTGGTGTGGTTTTTTTTCCTTCTTTTTATCTAACAGGGAACCCGTTTGTAATGTCTCTTAAAGATGACTTATGCCATTATACTTATAAGTAAAATCTTTACACATGATAAAACAGACTGGAAGAAGGTATACTAAAATGATGGCAGTAGTTATGTTAATATAGTGAGGCTTAAGTAATTATTTTCTCATCTATTATCCAAAATATATTATAAAGTGGTTAAATGTCTTTTTCAGTGAAAAACTATAGGTATATAGCATTTTTGTATACAGATGCATATTCTGTATACAAGTATATATAGACTTTTCATGTAAAATACAAAATATTGATGTACATAAATATTTAATATAAAATACAATATATGCTATTTACTTAATATATATACACACAAACATAAATGCATATAATAAACACACACTCATATATACCTATGTTTAAAGTTTAAAGTGACATTTATTCTTCCCAGATGACACTACCATAATATATTAATGCATTTTAAAACATGAGCTACTTTAAAACATTCCCAGTTGAAAAGATCTTTTAAATATAGGTTCATTATTCTTAGATGTGGTGTATATGACCCATTCATTGAGACGCTTGTGTTCCAGCACTCCAAAATTAGAGAATATATGTTTAGGGGAGGAATGCATAGTAGGAGGCAGATTTGTTATCTCTTATCTCAATAAATTCCTGTGTAGCAAATTTTGGGGAGTAAATGGAATCCAGCAGGATTTTTTAAAGATAAAAAGATGACTGTAGAAAGTCTTTTGAAAAACTGAGTTATCAGGCTGAAGGTGGATCTCCTGGGGGAAGGAAAACTGTAGCTTATTTTCCAACACAATCCTGCTGAAGAACTATAAGGTGTCAATTAATATATAATGATGAAGACAACAAGAATAATAGGAATTAAGTTTTGCAAACTGTTTAGATGTATAGAAAAAAACAAATGATTTATACATCTTAACTGAAAGAAATAAAAGAATGAGCTTTTACAACAATATTAGCATGAACAATAATAATAATAAATAATCACTACCATTTACTAAAAGCTTATTATATGCCAAGTGTTTATGTTAGCACTTTACATGTATCTGTTATAGCAATCTTGTCAGTGGTGGTGTGGGGTTGGCTAGTATTTTTCTTCTTATTTTACAGAAGCTGAAGCTGAGTCTCAGAGAGGTTTAGTAATGCTGCCAAGGTGCATAAGTGTGCACACATGTGTACACATACTTGAATTAGGGGAAAGATATACTCAATTCTTAGATTGCAATGTTATACTTATATCAGTTTTGCCCAAATTAATCTAGATATAAATTATATTATATTACTATACTAATCTATATTAAGTATATTAATTTATAAATATAATTTCAATAATACAAGTATTTTCCTTTTCTTTGGAATTAGACAAATTGATTCTAAAGTTCACATGGAAAAACAAACATTGTAGAAGAAGCCATGAAGTCATTGAAAATGGAGAGTTACAAGAGGATGATTAACTCTATCAGATACTGAAGAATATAAAGGGATGAAAATTTTTAATTTCTTTCTGTAGTATTTATGTTGCAATTCTATTTTTCAATATGATTTAGGCCATAAATATTTTTATGCCATTCCTAGTCACATAATAATCACCTATATATCTGATACCACTGCTGTTCTTTCATTTTTATTCAGATAGCATTGATTTATAACATTATACAGGTTTCAGATGAGTGATATAATGAACTAAATTCACAGAGAGATTAAATATATGCTAGAGAAGGCATTTAAAACCATGGGGGAAGAAATAAGGAAATAAATGGAGTTGGGAACAAATGGTTAACCATCTGAGAAAAAGATAAAGCTGAATATCATCTGACTCCTTATACCAAAATAATTTCCAGATGGCTGGAACATCTAAATTTGAAGTGATAAAAGAGTTTTGGAATGGGAAAGAGCTATGGAAGCAAAACAAAAAAAGATGCCTTTAATAAATAATTTCATGAATTAACTATACTGAAAAATAATATGTTTTGTGGGGAAAAACTGAAACAAAATTAAAATACAAAGGGGAAGTAGAAAATAAATATTTTGCAATTTATTTTGCAGGAAAAATGTTTGTTTTGTGTATAAATATCTATTACAAATAAATGGTAAGACCAATGTTCAACAGAAAAAATTTCCCAGAAAGTAAAATATAAATGGCTGCAAAAAATTGAAAAGAATCCCAGCATCTCTCATTAGAGAAATCCAAATTGAAACAATAAAATAGTAGTTTTCACCTATCATGCTGACAAAGTTCAAAAAATTAACATACAGCATTATCATTAGGATGCTGAGAAATAAGCATTTTCACAGTCTAATATAGGGAGTTTAAATTAATGCAAATTCTTTGGAAAAGTTTTAGCAATGATTATTAAACTGTAAAATGCACATATCTTTTGACTCAGAAATTTCTATTCTGTGAGTTTATCCTATAGATATACTTGCATAACAGGTACACAAAAATAAATACATAAATATTCACTAAAACTGTGTTTATTGTACAGAAACATTTGGAAACACCTAAATGTTCATGAGAATAAACTGGTGAACTAAACAATGGTATGTATTTGCACTACAATACCCTACTCCCCCACCCCATCTTGAGTAAGGAAAGAAAACAAGGAAAGAAGGGAAAGAAGAAGGGAGGAAGGAAGATGTTCTGAAATGAAACCATGCTCCCATTATGTCATAAATATGCTGATGCATGCAAAGAACATTTCTAGGACTCTAATGAATTATTGGTAAAAATCATTACTCCTAAGGATATAAATTAGATAATTCAGGGTTTGAGTTGAGAGGAAAATTTATTTCTCCTTTTTTCTAAAAAGAAAAACCAAAACCCTATATAACCCCTAACATTGTTTGAATTTTTATTATGTATTGTTTTTCAATAAATATAACACATGGACCTATTTGATGTTGTAAGTTTTGGCCAGTGGGTAAGAAACTGACTGACTTTGGGTGATGGGCACAATGCGTATACAGATGATGTATCATAGAATTGTACACTTGAAACCTATATGATTTTATTAACCAATGTCACCACAATAAATTCAATTTTTAAAAAAATTAATTGAGCTTTACATGTATGATATACACAGAATGCTGTGTGCACACTATACTTCAATTTAAAGGGTAAATATCAATAATAAGAATGGTAACAAAATCATATTTCTGTGCAAAAAATAGCAAATTGAATAAAATCATGTGATAGTAAGAGTGTGGATATTTTTTTTTGACCAGGTTGTCCCAGGAGTATCATAATTTGAATGACTCCAAGAGAACTGGGTTACAGCTGCATTTTCACCAATGTGTTTTGTGGAAAATATTAAAAATAATTAATAATTTTCATAACGGATCTAATTAATGGTCTTTCTTAATTATCGATTGATCCTCCTTATAGATTAGGGCTCCATCTCACCTGGTGAGATTTGCATATTAGAACAATCACTTTGCAGTGACTGCCTAAGACCGATTGAAAAAGGGGCATCCTGGAGTCATGGAAATTGGTTAGGAGGCCATTTCAGGGATACAGGTAAAAGTCTGAGAAGGCCAGAACTAAATGGGTGGCAGAAGAAAGAGAGAGGAGGATTAAATGCAGGTAGAAAAGGGTATAGAAATGGCAGGACCTCAAACCTGGCTGGTTGGGAGACAGAGGGAGAGGGTCGATCTATAATGACCTCAAAGTCCCTGGCTTAGGCAGCTGGATGAACTGCCATGTAATGAAATATTAAAACAAGAACAATGGATTTGGTGAAGATCATGGTGCACCTCCTTCTCCCTGAGCTCCCTAACCCTCAGGACTGAGCACTGTCATGGATAAACACGTGTGTGCTTCAGGTGGTTCATGGTGGCGAGACGCTGGGAACAATTCTTTTTTGGGGGGGGGGGCGCGGAACAATTCTTCTCAGCAGTTAACAAGTGTGGAGCCTCCAGGGAAGAGAAAAATCACCTTGTGAATGGTGAATTCTGGAAGGAGATTTGGCTAAATTAAAATGATAACGTATTTTCATTCGTGCCAAGAAGAAAATGTAGAAGACAAGCATCAGTCCAGGCCAAGATTAGCGCTCCTGATGAACAGTAAAGGGAGGCCGGTAGAGCTGGCAAGGAGCAGCAGTCAGGATGTCTTACCCTGAGGAACTACCGTGTCATGGGGCAGAAATGCACCTCGCCCAGCAATGCACAGAAGGGTCTCTTTCTGGAGGTTTGATGGCTCAGCATTCCACAGAGGCTGAGTGCAGCCAGGGTGGAGCTGGCTGGAAGGAAAGCAATGGAAGAAAATGGAGATAACAATCTTGGCACCATGCCTTGGCTCTGGCACTCGCTGGTGTTATAATCTTTGGCAAGGCACTTAAATTTGTGTTGACTTAAAAGCATCCTCTGTGGGAAAAAATGAAGTGCATGTAATTCTGACATCCTGTGCCTCTGAGGAGAAAATACCCTAGATTGGAGGGGTATGGGAGGGCTCCATGGAGGAGGTGGTATACAAACTAAAGTCATTCTTCAGATCTTAGTTCCTTTAAATGTTAGGTTGGGTGAAGAAAGAGTAAGAAAGAAGGGCAAGGGGATCCAAGTAGAGGAAACAGTATGAATAAAAGCTTTAAACCAAGAAATACCGTAATACCTTCAGGAAGACTATATGTAACTGGCAATGATTTCTAGAGTGTAAATAAGTGAAAGAAGTTGACTTCTTCAGTCCCTGCAATCATCCTCTGAAGTATATATTAATGTTGACTTACAGAAGAAGAACTTGAAATTCAGAACAGTTACTTGTTTGAAATCCCCTATCTTGTAAGTAGATGCACTAGTAGGGTCTGTGTGCTTCAAATCCTGTTTCAACTATTAATTTTTATCATTTCCCCACATTAATGTATTTAGATGGGTGGGTGGGGGCAGCAGTAATGAAGTCATAATTTTCTTAATGTATTCAGCAGGTTACATTTTGAAAAACTCTTTCAAACTAAACAAAAAAATACAGTGAAAAATGTAATATGTATGGAAAAATTATAATATGTATGGGTCATTAGCTATATAATGATTGAGCCACAAACATAGGGGAGCAAAATTTTCTTGTAAAGTCAGTTAAAGAAATCAATGAATCACTAACCCTTGTTTCTTCTTAGTAGCTCATGATATCCTTTACAAACTGTCTCTTATTTAGGCATAATTAACACAAGCCAAATTTGGTGGCCCTAATTATTTATTACAAATGTATATTATAAAACCACAGCAATTTGATTTTCTTCTACAACTAATTCACCAAGAGCAATTCCATCTTAGCAAAACCATGTACGTATTTGTGGAGGCCCCTTTCGGATTTGACCTTTCCTTGAATTTTTCTTTGGAAGCACTGGCCACATGGTAGGTCATGCTTACTTGGTCCTTGGTCTTTTCTTTGTATTTTGGCTCTTGTGGGTTGACTACAATGTAGTTGAGTGTGAATTTTATTTTTCTATCCTGCTGAGATTTTATCAAGCTTCCCGAATATGGGGGTTTCGTCTCAATCACTATCCTTTCAAATATTTACTTCTCACCCATTCTCTTCTCCTCACTGTCTAAACTACTTTCAGAAATAAATTGGATACTCTTCCACTAGCCTTGAAGTCTCTTAACCTCTTTTTTGTATCATCTATATTTTTATCTCTGCTGCAAACTAGATGCATTTAAAATAATTGTCTCTGTAGTTGAATCTAGTCCACTGTTTAAGCCATCCAAAGAAATTTTACTTTATATAATATTTTTTTTAAATTTTTAAACGTTCCTTTGTTTTTTAAAATTTGCTATTCCTTTCCCTATTGTATATTTTTCTGGCTCCCACCAATCTTCTTGGTTTCATAGTATCTTATCCTTTCCTTATGATTCAATTCTTTCTTTGATGTCAAATTATTTGAAAAATACTTATAATGGTCTCCTTGTTGATGTTAACACTTTCAATTGAGGGATGCTGTTTATTGTGGGTCCTAACTCTTGTTTAGGGTGGATGGTTTCTCTAGAGTTCTATGGATTTGGACCACAGGCTCATCTTCAGAACAGTTTAATCTTTGAGACGCCTGTGGCGCCCATCCAGCTGGGACAGTTTTACTTAAATTTCTGCCAGACATCGATGTGGAGCCTTTCTTCGCTACCTGGGAGTTCCCAGACCCTACAGGTATTATAATGGAACTCCAAGCCTGCCTGAAGGTAGACTCTTAGTAGAGACTTTCCAGGGGGAAATTTTTTTGTTCCCAATCATTGTTTAGGTTGAAGCAGACATGCTTCCTTATCACAAACCTGTGATTTTTATTGAGTGTTCTATTTTTATTCAAGGATCTTTGTTACAACTTGCTGTCTTACCAAGTGTCACAATCAGGTCATCTGTCCTAACCTAAGATTAAACATTAACATCTAGGTTATTGATAAAACTACCTTCATCCTCACCCTGCACAACTTAAGTCACTTATCTATGAAATTTCTTCTCCTACTTTCCTCTTTCATTTTTAAGGGGTCTGGGGGAAGATCTTGAGTTTTTTTTTCCCTACTTCCTGGAGAATTATGCTATTCATCTGGAAAGACTTTTATCTAGTATTTCTAGGTGATTTGTAATATAAGGGTTTCTAAATTATTTTGTCTAAAAAAACAGAAAAATGTTTTAATAAATAAATAAACTGCCTTCTGAAACCGAGAGTGCCATACTTAGAGGGCCCTCAGAGTTGAAGAGAGGCCCCAAATCGCCTGCCTCTCCCTGGGGTGGCTCCTGGTGGCCATGTCTCAGCAGTGTGATCCCACTCTCCTGTCTGCAGGTGTCTAGATCATAAGTGGTTCTTTGACTCAACTGTGTTAACTGGATTCTTTTCTCTTGAATGGTATTTTATATTTTAAAATGCTCTGAAACTTCTACCTGAGGTTCCAAGATAGTTCTTTTATTAAGCTCAGTCTCAGAAGAGCTAATTGTTCATGTACAGCTTAATAACATAATTATTATTTTTGCCATGATCCATAGCAGTACAATTTGCCTCCTGCCTTGGTGGTTTGGTCTGTATACTTGTGGATAAGACAATGTAAACAGGTACCATAAAACTGGCTGTATAACAATGGCAACATTTTATGATATTTCATGCTAACTTTCAAAGCAAGGGATTTGTTTCAATTTTATTAACTCCTTTTAGCAATCCTACAAGGGATAGAGAGAGTTACTTTGTTTAGTTTTGTTTTGCCATGTTTTCACATTTACAACTGAGTACAGAGATGTTCAGATGCTTGCTCAGAATCACAGAACCCAAATCTTTTCTTGCCTAGGTCTCTTTGTACGCATCATCTATGGAAAAGGTAATAGTTTCTCTTGAGGAAATGTGTTTTCTCTTTCAACTTATCTGGCTTTGTTTTCCCTCTCACATATGCAGATGCACACATGCAGTGATATAATCCTTTGGCAGCCCCTGACAAATTCATTCATTAAAAATCTCTCACTTCTCTGGAAACCATTTCTGCATTCTACAGTGGTGGGTCGCAGGTGGCTTTGTTAGCTCTATGTGCTCATGGTCCCTTGGCCACAATTCATTGGGCCTGTGTGGATACCTGAATCATTATGGCCAATAAGATTTTCTATCCAAAAAGCTGGAAATTTAATCTTAGGGGAAGCAAGTTACTTTTTGTGGACAACTTGCCAGAGACTAGCGGAGGAGAGAGAAAGAAAATTAAAAAAAAAACCCCAACAAACAAACAACTCAAGCCAGCAGAGAGAAGCAAAGACCCAACAGATGTCAAGAAAATTCCTGAGGGATCTGGTGCTTATGGACTGAATCCCTTTCTGCTACATCCTGAATGTCTGTGCTCCTCCAGGGCTCACATGTTGAACTCCTCCTCTCAATGTGATGGCATTTGAAGGTGAGGCCTTTGGAAAGCAA